CCTGCAATCAGGCCAGACCAGCCTCGGGGCACCTGGGCACAGTGTGGGGGAAGCTGCCCACTGACGGGCAGGGCGACTGGAGAGCTGGTGAGAAAGATATCAAAGGAGACTGCTGAGGGGCCAGAACTCGGAGGCTGGGCACCTAGAGGCCAGGAGACAGTGGCGGCTAGGGGTAAATCACTGATTCAGAAAGTAAGAGTCTATTTTGTGGTAAAGAAAACTTGAGCCATATCTACATATCAAAGGGAAACTGGGGAAAAAGAGATTTGAAATATTAGACAGTCGGGAGGGTTCCACAGTCAGGAGGATCCATGTTGTCAGGACACTACGGAAAAGGGGAAAACGAGATCTGCCTCCACTGGATTTGGAGGTGCTGGGGTGGGAGGTGGGGCCCGGGGCAGCAGGTGGAAGCCAGAGGAGGCAGCACAGGCTGCAGGCGGGGAAGGCAGGGCCGTCTCACCCCGCCCCCCACCCTGCTCTCCCCATTCAGTGTCCCCACCCTCCCAGGTGGCCACCCCCCACCCCTCACTCAGGGACATTAGGTACCTCACCCGCAGTAGGCGCTGCGGGGAAGACGTGAAGATGCAGAGAGCAGACTCTGCCCCCAGGAGCTCCCAGACTCCCCGAGGCGCTGTGGAGTGGGTAGGGGACAGGCCCCTCCGGGGCTCACGTTGAGAACACCAACCAAGACAGAAAGACTGCTGACTCGGCAGCAACCAGACTTCCCGAAGCATAGATTCACCATCACTTCCCATCGAGACGTCTGTATAAGGGGGACCACCGCAGCACCGTCACCAGGCCCCACTGGACTCTCCCTGAGAAACCACAGTGTCCTGCCGAACGGGAAGAAGTTGTGGCATGTTCACAAGACGGAATGAGACGGGGCGAACCTCAGCTCCCCAACACAGACGGCATTACAGTGCGACGCTCGGGCCTGGAAAGGCCAGACAGGAGGCCGAGCACACTGCTTGGTTCCACGTACGGGCAGGTGAGAACCGCAGCGTGGAGCTGTGTGCACAAGCCATGGGGACAGGGGCCTGTGGGAGGAGCCCCTTGCCCTTGCCCTGCCTGGGCCCAGGCGCTGCTCTGCGGGGAAGGGGAGCCTGTGGGCGTGCACCTCCTGTCGGAGGCTGTTCGGTGTGCACCCTTCATTCCAGCAACAACGCAACAAAGCTGAAGACCCGCGGTCAGCGCCAGGGTGCTGTGGGTGGGAAGGCCGCGGCCGAACACAGCAGGGTGCCCCTGCCTCCCCGCCTGCCCCTTCTGCACCTCCACATGCTCTGGCTGGTGACCGTGTCTCTTCAGAGCAGCAGCGTGGGAGCCCAGGACCTCAGAAGGTGGCCTTGTGTGGAAACAGATGTAACCAGTCAAGACGAGGTCATTTTGAGGAGGGAAGGTCCACATCCAGTGTGACTGGTGTCCTTGTAAGAAGACGGCCGTGTGTGGACAGAACAGGAGGAGGACGTGGTGTGAAGACGGGTGGAGGGCTGGAGGGACGCGTCCAGGCCCCGCACACAGCCCGCCTTGAGGAGGAGACGGAGGGCCCAGCGGTGCTGAGGAGCAGCCGCGGACACCCGGGCTGCGTGGCTCTTGCTGACCTCCCTCTGTGGAGTCTGTTCCAGCAGGAGGCCTGTGGCTGGCAGCTCTGGCGCGTCCCCGTCCCCACACCTCTTCCTACGCAGTCTTCTACTGCCCTCTTCCTCGCTCCCCGTGGAGGACCCTGAATTATTGGAGGGGAGCATGTTCCTCCCAGGCGGACCTGATAGACCATTATCAGAACAGGCCTGTGAGAGTGACAGGGAGAGGAGACGCCCCTGAGGGTGACATGGGAAGCAGCCGAGGAGGGACTAACCAGTACTGCCCGCTGGTGTCAGGCAAGGCGGGCGCTGGACCAGCGCAGCCAGACAGAACCGCAGCTCTGATAAAGGCCTCCTTAGACCCTATTCCAGAGATCTCTCTGGCTTCCTTTTACTTCCACAAAAAGCAGAGGGAAAGCGCATCTCTCCCTCGCGGTCAGCCAGCGCCAAGCAAGCGCGTCTCGTGTTCACTGCACACGCCGTGATTTCAGTTCTGGGAAAGCCACCCATTGAGCTTCCCGCCTGCACCATCAGAACCCGTGCTTCAGACAGGGTGGGCAAGAGCCAGATAGAACGAGGCAGAGAGTTTCACACAGAAAGCAGTGATGGGAATTGTGTCCCATAGCTTCTGTCTTATTATGATTTAAAAATTCAGTAACCGTTCTGATCTGAGCAGGAGTGGAGGGGGCCTGGGGGTGAAGGGACCTGAAGTGAAGCCTGGGGTAGTGGGTGGTGGTCAGGCTACAGTAACAACAGCACTGTAATAGAAATAGCCCCAAGAGCCCTCGGCGTCGGGCTGAGCCTCCACAGGTCCACCTCCTCACCCACTCAGGCTGTCATGTGACGGCCGAGTGCCATTGGGGTCTCCCCCAAAGGCTCATAGACTTGGGGGTGGGAAGACCCGAGATGCCTTAAAAACAAATAGGATTTTCCCAGAGTCTTAATTCTGGTACTGAGTAGAAGAAGCAGTGCCCTATTTCAGAGAGGAGAAAGCCCAGGTTCTTGGAAGTAAGTAATTTACCTGAAGTCCCATACCTGTTCAGAATTATAACCCCAGACGTTGTGTCCTGGTGAGTTAAGGCTGGACCTCCACGTCTGGGAAGGTTGTGAACATGAACCTTGGAAATTAAAGTACCAATCCAGACAGGAAATGCCCTCTCCAGAAAAGTGACTGAAGTAACCAACCAGACCCGGAGCTGAGGTGCTTACGAGCCACCTGGCATGGAGTGGGCAGTGTGAAGAGGGCCGGCAGGACAGACACGACCAGTCCAGTGCCCCCAGAAACCCTGACACAACTGGACTGACCAGTGATAGCCCATGGGGGCATCGCGAAAGATGACCAGCCTAGTGGGACTGAACTAAGGTCCCGCCTTAGATCTTAGTTGTCTGTTAGTTACAGGTCCCTTAAAATTGAGGTCTACACATGTTCTATTATGTATTGGTGCTAATTAGTAGGCTAAACTATGCAAAGGACATGGATGGCCGGTGTCCAAGGTCACAGGGGGATCACTGGCGTGATCTGGGCCAGCTAATTGCTGCTCTCTATTACAGTAGCACCTGGCTGGCTCCATGCAGGGATTTTGCCATCCAAGTGGCAGGAATACGCAGAGGCTTAACTCCCAGGGAGCCACACTAGGAAGCCCAGGAGTGAATAAGTCCCGGCAGGACGGCAGGACATCAACTCGGTTGCTCCCCCGCTCCCCGGCACCAGCATGCACCAGAGCCACCCGCAGGGCCCTAGGGCATCCTGGGGTCCAGCTGGAGTCTCTGATGCAGCAGGTCTTGGGCTGGGCCTGGGGGTCCGCAACTCCAGCCCCTCCCCAGCCGATGGCAGTGCTATTGGTACAGAGCTGGCACTTGAGAACCGCGACATGCCGCCTCAGGTCAGAGTCGCCAGCAAAGCTTCTTTCCCCCACTATTTTCAGCGTGTACCAGTTTCACATGCACAAGGTTGAGGTTAAAAATGAAAAAAAAAAATCTTAGAGTCTCTGGTCTCAAGATGAGCATAGAAGCAGCAAAATGCTGTAAGAAGAATATAAAACCAAAGCAAAAAAAAATGTCCCTCCAGCTTTGGCCAAGAAGGCACACCACCTGGCTGTGCTGCTTTGAGCCTTGATTAAGAGGCTGAGGTCTCAGCAAAAGAGAGAAGAGCATCATTGTCTTCACTGAGCTGCCCACAGAGCTGAGGACTCAAAGGGCAGCTCCTGGTTTCCCAAGGAATCGGCTAGAGCAGGGGAGGAGGGAGGAGAGGAAGGAGTGGAGCAGGGCTCGGGCTCTCGCATCCCCCCCGCCCCCCCCCCCCGTGTGAGAAGGCGCTGGGGTGAGGACCTGAGAGCTCTGTCGTCTTCTCAGTGGGTGCAGAGCATGAGCACTGAAGGGATTTCATCCCACCAGAAAGCACAGGGAGGCTCTGAGACGTGCGGCCACCGTGGCAGGTTCCCCGGCCGCCAGCAGGACTCAGGGGAAGTCCAGCTGCTCCGATCCAGTGCCTTGTCCACCATGCCATGTTACAGCGCTCTGAAGACAAAAGGCCCCCGGGGCTAACAGGAAGGAGCCAAGGCAGGAGTCAGGGCCCTGAACCTCCCTGAGGACCAGTCACGGTATCATCCTGCCCGGATGACCATGCCTGCCCCCTGGGCTGCTGCAGGGATCCCTGATGGAAGGACATGGTGCCACCTCTGTGAACTGTGGGCCTGCCACCATCACGACCACTGCAGGGTCGAGCTGAAGTGACTGCCGGGCTGTTGCTCTGCAGAGCTAAAGAGGGGTTACAGACAGGAAGGGCCGGCGCTTTAAGAAATAGTTTATCCAAAACAAAGAGCCAACGAGGAGTAGCTTCAGAAGACTTTCATTTCATATTTCTGGTGCTCAGTAGTACATGTTAGCATTGAAATTGTATGAGACCAAATTCATGTTGGAGGTTGAAACAAAGTAAAAAATAAAAATGAACAGGCAGAAAGCAAGAGAAGATTGGACCAACTGGGGTCCCCATACGCCCAGGTTGCCCTGTGGAAGGGACTGGCTGAGGATGAGGCAGACTGCTGGAGCCTTCCGTTGGTCCCATCCCAGGGGCTCCCGGCCTCCTCTAGCTGCTCATGCTGAGATGTCTGTCTTCCTGCCTCAATGGGGGAAATTCTGCATCAGTAACACCCACCTTAACTCTCAAATGACTTATGGCCAAGAGACTCCCAAACCCTGGGTTTGGGGTCAGAAAGTCCACAGGACTATTTGACATCACTGGTGACGGTGACTCGTCTCTGGTCCCCGATCCCATGGCTGCACGCGGTGCTGGCTGGGTATTGATCAGGAAGCACTAGGAACAAGATGGAAAGACCCCAAGTCACCAAGGCCACGCTGGGACGGGGTAAGGAGCACTCGGCCTGAATCAGCACATGAACACAGCAAGGGGAGAGGGCGACTTGCCTCCCGTCTGTGTTTAGCAGCACGTGCTCCTGTGGAAGCTGGAATGTGGCTGCTATTTATAGGAAGCATCGCAGGCACGTCCAGGACCTTTCTGTGGTGCAAGGAAGCAAACTGGTGAGCCGCAGAGGGGGATTGATGGTCCACATTGATGAACTAAGACCCCAGGGATGAGACAGGACTGTGTGACCCCTGGGCTATTCCTCATGGGTCTCGGGTGCCATGAGGTAGCCAAGGGCAGTTACGAGAGCAAAGATGGAGGAGGGAAGCAATGGCAATAAATGAGAAATAAGTGCTTCATTTCTAACTGGAAAATGTTTCTTGGTCCCAGCTGAGCGTGGTGGCACACACCTAATCTCTGAAGCTCTGGAGGCTGAGACAGGAGGATGGCAAGTTCAAAGCCAGCCTCAGCAACGGTGAGGCCCTAAGCAACTCAGTGAGACCTTGTTTCTAAATAAAATACACAAAAGGGCTGGGAATGTGGCTCAGTGGCTGAGTGCCCCTGAGTTCAATATCCTGAGTACAAAAAAAAAAAAAAAGAATTTTTGGTCCCAGACATATCTGTTTGGTTCACACCAGGGCCACACTAGTCTGGCTGGTGCCTTTGTGTGGGTGGAGTCAACTCCATGGGCATATGGTGGGGTGCCAAGCAAGCGCTAGATCTGAGCTCCCACTTGCACCCAACCTAGGCGTCACTGGGCAGTGCACAGACTGCACACCTGTACGTGGAAGCCTGGCTGCACAGACTAATGTTTTTGAATAAGCTGAGTGAACGCTGAGGATGGGGACTTGGTTGTCCATAGGGAGGCTCTGGATTGTGAGGTGCCGTCTGACCCTCTGAGAGCACTTGTAGCAGTTCCTCTGTGGCTGTTTGGGGGCCTCGTTTATCTCCTGATCTACCTATGCTACGCATCAGTCACTCACAGTCATATCATGGAATAATTTATGGTGGATCAAATTAACCTCTGTTTCCTTCTTTGTGTCCAGGGTGACAAAGGACCTCCATCTATTTTCTTCAGAGTTCATTGGGATTAAAACTTTGTCATCAACTTTTCTGTAGAAGTATGTGGCACTATAATAATGTATTTCTTGCTACCTATGAAACGAACAGGTACAGACTCCTTGGAATACGAGCAGGACCGCTGTCCTAGGGGAAGTGTCCTGACATGTTCCTGGCTCCGCCAGTCCTGCCCCATCCTTCCTTCTAGGGCTAGGTCTGAGGGGGGAGCATGAGCCAGGTGCGGGTTGGGGACGGCCTATTTTCTCCCGGGATAAACGAGGCCTAAGCGGGCAGAGCTCTGCGGGCACAGTCGGCTGCCGGCAGGGTGAGGGTGCCACCCAGGCAGGTGGGAGCTGGGACTGCAGAGGACCTTTCCCTGAGGAGGGCCATGGAGTCGAGGAGCCGTGGGCGAAGAGGGGCAGGCCCAGGCTCACGGCTGGCAGGGCGCGGCTGCGGCTCCTGCCCCCTTCTGTGTCCATCGCTGTCCATGAGCTTCCCTTAGCCAGGAGGGAGGCTGCTGGGGAGCCGCCTGCTGTCCGGCACCGTCCAGCCCAGGGCCTTTGGAGCGCAGGGCTGGGAGGGCGAGAGCCTGGCCTGGGTTGACAGGTGCGCGTCGGGATCTCGGCTTCACCCGCACTGGGCCAGCCATCTTGGGCCAGGCGCTTGGCCTCCTTGTGTGCAGAGCACTTTCCCAGGAGCCTGGGCACAGTGAGCCTCCACACCTGAGGGCTGCCGCTGCTGTTGTCCAGAACCACGCCCAGGAGATCTGGTCCCCGCGTGTTCCTCAGAGGACCTCACAGGCTGGAAGCCCCTGAAGTCTTGTCTGGTGGCCGCAGGCCTCTGGGCAGAGACTGTTCTGCAGGGAGCCCACGGGCAGCCCTCGGAGAGCCAGCCCTCCTTGCGAACGGGCCTCAGCCTGTGGGGCCCCTCCTAGGTCCCCTCCCCGGGTCCCCTCCCCGGGTCCCTTCCCTGGCTGGGCTTTGACACACTGCTTCTTGGATGCTGGCTGCTTCTGGCTTTCCTAGCCCCCTTTCCTGCAGGTTCCTGACTCTCCTGACCGTGGAGACCCACCGGCCCTCATGCTCGTCTGTGGAACTGACCACAGAGTCGGGAACACACTGGGTGTCAGGCCACAAGGACAGCAAAGCTGAAAACGGCTGGGTGGGCGCAGGCTGTGGCGTGGTGAGGGATGGCAGGTGGGCAGCCGCAGGGCCTTCAAGAGGAGGGTCAGCGAGGGCACTTCAGGGAGCTGCCCTGAGACCCTCTGTGGTGGCCCAGAAGGGAGCAGGAAGAGCCAGGCAGGAGAAAGGGACACACACAGCAAAGGCCACCAGGGACTCACCTGGGCACCGAGGGCCTGCGGAGGGGACTGGAATAGGCCGGCAGAAGGAGGGGTCCCGACAGGTCCTGGCCCTCTGACAGGATTTGTCAAGCCCCGTGTTCCCAAGCTGTGACACCCACACCAATTCAAAGGCCCAGGAGGGACAGCTGACAGGGAAGAGCAGATTGGTGGCTCAGTCCTCGTCCTGGGCTCAGGGAAGAAGCGTATGTCCCCGTGGCTCCTGGGCTCCTGCACAGGGAAGTCCCTGCATACCCAGCACCACCAGCGTCATATCAGTGGGAGGGGGATTGTCCCCAAAGGGAGACAGGTGCTGCTGGGAGGTGAGTGGGACACCAGCAGCCACAGAGTGGCAGGTGTCCGCCACACCCGGCCACTCGGTTCCCGCAGGGAGGTTTCGGTTCAGGAAGGCGAGCTGCGTGGTGGGTGGGTAGGAGAAGTGCGTCCCTGGACGCTCCCCACCCCCCACTCGGGGTTTGGTTCAGGGTGCCCGTCTGTTTTGTTTTACAGAATCCACTTTTTGATTGTGACTTTCGCGTAGAAACTCAAACGTGAAACAGAAAAAAGCAGCACTGGGGGCTGGAAGGGGGAGGGGAGGGGAGCCCCTCCCTCCACCTGCCCTCCGCACCTTGAGGGGCCACCATGGAACTCCCATGGCTTTGAGAAAGACTTCAGAGAACCTCCGTGGTGGCCCTTTTCTATAAACTGCAACCGCATATTAAAGGCATGTTTCACATTGGCGTTTGTCGGGTGAAGGAGACGAGCCTGCGTTATCTATACCCCAGTTCTGAGCCTGCCCTCTCATCGACCAGAGGTCGAATCATGGTTGCTAGGAAATAAAAATGCAGGAAGAATAGGCATCCGCAGAAGGGCTCCCCTGCTTTCAGATATTTATCCCATGTTGCTCTGTCAAGTCATTCAAGAAAGGGTAGGAAATTGACTCTTCATCATGAGGGTGTTGTGCTCGGGACTTGAAAAGGACAGGACTGAATACCCCGTGATTGTCAGAACCAGCGTTCCAACCGGCAGAGGCCCATACCTATGCAGGAAGCTTCCGTGGAGGTGAAGGCCGCGTGGGGGTGCGGACTCCCAATCACAGAGGCATTCTTCCAGCTCAAAGGAGACTCTTGACTGGGCAGAACAGCAGACTGCCGGCCCGGAGCCCCGGGCAGCAGGGCTCAGGGACAGCGGCACTGGTGAGGCCAGGCGTCACAACTGTCTCAGCATCCACAGGAACATGTCTTCAGCTTAAAAGGATTGCCAGCCTCCTCAAACAGTTCTATGTCTAAAATACTAGAAAATGTGCTTATTTTGAGTCTCATAGCTCTTAGTGTTGACATTTGAAACCATCCTTCCCAAACTCCTCTGCCTGATCACACAATAAGTGGTGGCTACCTCGAGGTTTCCAGAATGATAAAAATGGACAACTTGATTCTCCATCACAGTGAGGGGAGGCAAAAGAGATGGATTTACATACAGGGTCAGAAAAAGGAGATTCAGGGATATCATGAAGTATTTATTATTGCTGTGATTATTTAAAAGTAGACTCAGAAAATTGAGCAAAGATTGTACTAAACCTTCATTTCAAAGGGGGAGCTAAATGTGGGTGAGAGAAATCAGTAGCATGGAGAATTTCAAAGAGATCTCACATTTTAATCCCTCCTCTTACAACTTGAGACATTGCTCAATATGCATTTAGGGGAGAGGCCAAGGAAATGTAACATTAATTAGCCCTTGAGGAAAAAAGCATATTGAATGTATTTCTGAACAGCTCGTTTATATATAGGAATTAATTCCGTCCTCAGAGAATTTCTTGTTGTACCTGTGAGCTAGAATTACTGGGGAGGAATTCTTATATTTAGTCCACAGCAGAATCATAGCGTGGTATTTTTAGGACATTTATAAGCCTTTTCCGTCCTGGTGTGCCACCTACACGTGGTGATACTTGCTTTGAGGGCTTAATCATAATGATAGTCTTTTCTGGTTGGGAATTCATCTTCCAGTGGGGCAAGTAGACACATGCAAGTCTAAAGTCAGTAAAAGGCAAAGTAGGGCATATTGAAGGTACGAACAAGACGCAGAGCAGGTGCCTCAGGAGATGGAGCCCAGGAGCCCGTGTGAGGGGCAGGGGTGGGGAGGGGCTTGTGGCTCAGGGCGCAGGTTGCCTGGGCCTTTCAACCTTGGTGGGGTTTCCCGTACAGGAAAGCTGAGGAGAAGAGAGCACCCGTTCCAGGAGCCGGCTCCGCGGTGCAGTGTGGAGGATGTCTTAGGGTAAACACCACCAGCTGCCACCACAGGCCAGCTCCAGACCCCAGTCACCCAAGACCCAGGCAACGCTGGGGGTGGGAGTCACCCAGCGTGCAGGGCCCAGGCCCCGCCCCCAGCAGACTGTTCCTTGGAAGGAAGGGTGTGAGCAGGGGGTGTGGGGGGGAGGCCCGAGGCCAAGCCTCAGGGCATGGAAGGTTCTGCTCATATTCCACTGTCCAGAGCTCAGCTGCCCCCCCCCCCCCACCGTGAGGAACCCGGGACATACAGTTTGCTGTGCCTGGGAGCAAAATCACATGGCGGAACCAAGGTTGTTTGTGTTGCCACCTGAGGGAGGGAGGAGAGGCTGTCACCTGGGGACTTCCTTGTCCCCCAGCGTCACCTGTACTGTCCTACCCCAGGTGCCGCCTTCACTGCAGGGGAGAGCGACTCTGCCTTACACAGCCAGGTAGCTGGTGCAGGCTGGTCACCACGGGCAGTAGGTCGGAGGTCACTGGTTCCCGGGTAGCTGACCGACTTGGGAGGACGGAGCTTGTCCAAGACAAGCTGGAAGAGCAGGCTGGAAGAGCAGGACCTGAGCGGAACGTCTTTCTGATATTTTAGGCTTACCTGGCTTTTGTCGCTCTTCTCCCTCCGACCTCTTTCCACTACTGGACCGTGAGATTCTGGATTCTGGGCCTAGGGACAGCAGTGAGACCCAGAGGAGGAGGAAGAGGTCGCCAGGATGATGTTCAGTCGTCTCAGAGTGTGGCTGCCTCTGGGAGACGCAGGGGAAGGGGCGGGAGGAACCTAACTCCAGCACCAGCCCCACGCGACCCCCTGTTGAGTCCCAGAGAGGCTCCTCCCAACCAAAGGAAGGAAGGAACCGAGGGGGGAGGGAGGGAGGGAAGCAAAGGAGGAGGGAAGGAAGGAGAGGAGGAAGAGAGGAAGGAGGGAGGGAGGGAGGGAGGAAGAGAGGAAGGAGGGAGGGAGGGAGGGAGGAAGGAGGGGGAGGAGGAAGCAGAGTTGCCTTGAAGGGGACTCAAGTTACCGCCTCCCAGTTGCAAAGCAGGAGGGGAAACTTGAGCTTCGCGGTCACAAAGACGAGAACAGCCTGTGCCCACCCTGTGCAGGTGGCTCTGGAAGTGTTCCTGTGTGGGCCGGTCAGGGGCCTGGCCTAGTGAGGACTGAGACAGTTCACACTCACTTCCAGGGATGCCCAGCAGGAGCGGGGGCTGGGTCACTGAAAGGGGGGTGCCCACAGAACGCTGCCTCCTCCTCAGTCCCCGCGCTGACAGCTGGGGCTCCAGGACCTGTGCCAGGTGCTGCCTGGCTGGGGTGGAGGTCGGCTGGGACGGCAGGCGGGCCTGAGGCAGCTGCAGCGACCCCGTCCAGGTGACCAGGGGCTCGGGCACTGAGCCCTGGTGAGGAGCAAGGGGCCAGGCCCCACCTTCCTCCATGAGTCCTAAACCCAGGGACACGCAGCCTCCACAGGAAGGCAGACATTCCCAAAGACTTTGACAGAGGGAGGGGGGATAGGAGAGGAGGGAAAAGGAGGGAAAACTCCCCCTTAACACTCACTGGCAGGACACCTATTGTGTCCCCCAGCCCACCCCTGTGCTACCCCTTTGTCTGCTGTCCGCTGTGGCTCCCCCAGGGCCAGCCTCTGGTTAGGACTTCCTTTCTACAGGACACCGCGGTGTTATTTGCCTTTCATGAAAAAGCAGCTCCCATAGTTACACCACTGGCCGCCCCACCCTGCTTTCCTTGTACCCACAGTCACAGAGGCTGTCACCAGGTCGCGGCCCGGGCGCTGGGTTTCCCCTTGGAGGGTCTCTCCTACAGAACACTCCTGCTGGTTGTCACAGCTGTGTATTTCTGACATTGTCCTAATGCAGATGGCAACAGCCACCAATGTTATAATTAACAGAGTTGCGACTTCGCCACAGGCTCAAAGAGAAGGGAATTTGACACGAAAATGAGCATGAAGAAACGTCTGGTGGCGTTCTGTGTTAATCACGGCACTCTCCCGTTACCCCAGCACAAGAATCCACTTAGCTACTCACACCTCTTAAATGATTAGACTGCAGCTACCTGATTGAAAACTTTCCATGCTGAGTACATAAGAGAGAAAATGACAGCAAGCTGTGCTCTGTAACATGTTGCTGATGCAGTCACTCAACAACGGCACTCATATCGGGAACTCCGAGTTGGGGCTAATGCATCCATTCTTTTGACAGCTATTAAGGTGCCATTGCACACAAGGTGCCAGGGGTGCCAACGTAAGGAAGTCCTTTCCTCAGGGAGTGTGCAGTCTTGGGGGAAGACAAGAGAATACGGGATGTGCTCTCGTGGGGGAGCATGCAGATGTGGGAGGGTCCACTCTACTGGGGGTGGGTGGAGCTGATGGGGGAAGGCTGGGAAGAGGAGGCTGTGCAGGGCTGGAGGCTGGGAAGGAGGGGAGTGCAAGGCGAGCAGAGCCGGGCATGGCTACCGTGGCTGCTGAAGAGCTGTGTGGTGTGGCGTAGGGTCCAGCTGGGCTGCAGGCGCAGCGGGAGACCTGCAGGGAGGCGAAGCCCGCCAGGAAGGTCCTGGCGACCTAGACTTGCCCTCTGTCCTGGCGTTGGGAAGGCAGCTGGGACTGAGGCTGGAGGGCGGCATACCCACTTCCACATTTTAGAAAGAGAAGGGAGGTGGTGGTGGGAAGTGGACGGATCATGGGCTGCGTCCACGCCCAATCCAAAGGCACAGAGGGCCCAAAGTTAGGCATGGCCAGGGAGCGGCGCAGAGGGTGAACTTGAGATGTGGCCTGGCTGCACCACCTGCAGAGGAGCTGGCGGCATGAGAGGGCTGGGCCTGGGGAGCTGAGCTTGCCCTTCCCGTCCTGCGGGGACCTGGGGTCCCCACGTGCCACCTGCCTATTCTTCTGCCAGTAATCGTCCCAACAGGAGCAGACGAGTGGTATTTCCAAGTGGCATTCCGAATGGTCCATGCCTTGTTTGAACATGCTCAGGATGGCCTTCCCTTCCCCATTCAGCCTTGGAGGCTGAACGGGACATTTAAATAGCCAGAGGACAGTCATGCTTGCTGTAGAACTCTTGAATAAATAACTGGAGCTTATAATAACTCCCAGCAGTTTACAAAGCAATTTTCCATTTGTCATCTCACTGAAGACTCACGCAGTGCTGTGGGGTAAGGCAAGTGTTCTCACCAAGCCTTCCTGCCAGTGGGGAGCTGGGACAGAGAGGCGAAAGTCACTGGTTCAGGCCACACAATCTTGAGGAACTGACCCAGGAATCCCATAATATCCTCATTCTGCCACTCACATGCCCCACCCCCTGCTGGGCCTTTGGCTCTCAGCTTTGGATTTTGTACGTTGCTTCACATTTCTATTTCAAAGCTTCCCCTTTCTACCCAACTTGATGATAATTCCCAGAAGGTTAGGAATTGGGCATTTACCTCTTTATCATTCTTCACATATTAACCGGGTGACCAGTAACTGTGACTGATAACATCAGCTTTCAAAATTAAACAGATGGAGGCGTCGTTTACAGCCAGCACTTCATCATTCACACTGAAGGAGAGGACTGTGCCAGTGTCCACCCGTGCTGTGGCTGATGGGGTCCTGGGAAGGTACCACAGCTGACCTCCATGACTGTGGGCTCCCGTCTGTGCCGTGAACAAAGGGTCACTGTGAGACGTTTTATCTCTGCTGGACACATACAGATTCTTTTCTTGCCACCATTCCATAAATAATACAGTCTGACAGTTTACACAGCCTTAGCCCCAACTCTGGTGCCACATGTCTGTAGTCCTGGCACTTTGTGAGGCTGAGGGCGGAGGATTGCAAGGCCAGCCTGGACGATATAGATAGACCATGCTTGTTATGGTTGGATATGAGGTGACTTCCAACGGTAGGAGGTGAAAGGACTGGTTTATGAAAGCTGTAATCTAATCACTGGATCAACCCGTCTGATGGGTTAATAACTTGAATGTGCTAACTGGTGGTAACTGTAGGCAGGTGGTATGTGGCTGGTGGAGGTAGGTCACTGGGGTCGGTCTGGAAGGGTTTATCTTCCCTATGGCCCCTTCCTGCCCCCCCCCCAGCTGAGTAGCTGCCCTCTGCCGTGCCCTTCCTCATGATGCTCTGCCTTGTCTTGAGACCAGAGCAATGCAGTCGGCTAACCCTGAACTGAACCTCTGAAATGGTGAACCCCAAATTAAACCATTCCCCCTCTATTTGTTCATTTCAGGTCACAGTGACAAAAAGCTGGCTAGCACACTGTCTCAATCAAGCATAGCATTTACATTGTATTAGGTATTATACGTACTAGAGATGACTTAACTATTATATGCAGATACCATGGCATCGGATACAGATGACTTGAACGTCCACGGGTTTTGGTCTCTGCAAAGGTCCTGGAACCAATGCCCTGGAATACCAGGATCCTGGAGGACAACATTAGAAGCTCGTGGCTAAGAAAGGGGCTTCTGTGTTGTGCAGGTTTCTGTTCACCTTTCAGCTTCAGCATTTATGACCTTAGGTGAGTTACTTAAGGTCTCTATACTTCAATTCTTCATCTCAAAGAGGAAAACCAATAAAACCACATAAAATTATTGTGAGGAATTAATAAGAATCCAGGACCTCTACATAGTAAATCTTTCAATGTGTTAGTAATTGTTATTATATTAGTAGCCCAGATATTCATGTAAGCCCCACTTCCCATTTCCTCCCCAGAATTTCTGTGCCAAACTTGGGCTATACTTTTGACTCTGACTTCCTGTGCTACAGAGCTTCAACTCACATCTCCATTTCTCTGATTCACACTTCCTTATATGTGGGACTCAAGCTGTTTTCCTTGAATTCCACCCACTCTCTGAACCTCAAAGAAATTATACAATGATTTCAACATATAGCAAAGTTTTGTTAAAGATACAGAGGAATGGCAAAAAGATGGCACCACAGATTTCTAGGACAGACAACTTAAAATACAGTAGTCCCTTCTTACCTGTGGATTCATGTTCTATACTATAAGTCACCCATGGTCAATTATATCCTAAAAATATTAAATGAAAACTTCCACAATTAAACACTTCATAAATTTTTAGTTGTACACCATTCTGAGCAGCATGATGACAGCTTGTGCCAGCCTGCTCCATCCAGCCTGAGACCTGAATTGGCCCTTTATCAGGTACATCCATGCTGTATATGCTACCCTCCTGTTAGTCACTTACTAGCCATCTAGCTTATCAAATAAACTGTTGCCTCTCAGTACTTGTATCTAGTGTTTGGTACTATACACCATTTCAGAATGTCCTGGGGGTTCTTGGGACATTTCCCCTTTGATAAGGGGAATCACTCTACGATGCTAAACTTTTCTGAAGACCCTTGGCTATTTCACCAGCTCTGACTTCCAACCAAGTTGTCCGGCTCTTCCTCTGACCTCATCTTTTGCTGCTGCAACAACTAAAACAGCATCCACAGTTCTTTTTCCTGGGATGGGGTTGGAGAGAACACTGCTGCTCTCTAACTGTCCCCAGTTTTGAATCAAACCCCCTCTTGAAGCCAAGGACTATGAAGGATGGGCTCTTGCCCTGGTCTCACACCCAGGCCCCTCCTCCATAGTCTGTGTGCGGAGAAAGGATTAGTACAGAGGTTTATTTCTCCGCTGGAATGAATCACGCCACTTCTTCCTTATAAGGGAAAGCCACCGATAGCCAACACAGTTCAGATCCATTTTTTCTCTTAGCAACATATCACTATTGTGCATGGTGTTGAGGAATGCTGTCTATTTAACAAGAGGTAATGTGGATGGAGTCTTGGGTTTCTTAGATATGTCTTCATTTGGTCAAGGCCTTAGTCTGTCCCAGGAGGTGCCATCTGCACCAACTGCAACCCTG